TGGTCTCGATCTCCTGACCTCGTGATCCGCCCGTCTCGGCCTCCCAAAGTGCTGGGATTACAGGCTTGAGCCACCGCGCCCGGCCACTGTCCTCAAATTTTCAAAACCAGACCTTGCCTGACCCATTAAAGCGAAGGGCTAAGCATGGCCAGCTGTGTCCGAGGAGGTTTTGTCCTCCCTTAGTTCTTCCTCGGATCCGCAGTGGGTTGATCCTGCCCTTTCTGAAATCCACCACCATGTTTGCTGGTCAAATTGTACCCACTGGCTCCTTGATGGAACTGAAGGCAGTTTGTTGCAGAAAAATTCAGGAGCTGCAAAGTTAAGAGGCTCAACTGTAGCACAGAGTCAACAGTTTGCAAATAAAGCCCCTGGAGCTAAGATTTCCTTTCATGTGTTAGCTGCCTCCAGGATACATAGGGGCAGGTGGGAGTGCCAGCTCTTGTACTTGGAAGAGTGGATTCGGCTTTAGACAAACTCCTGCAGAGTGACCCAAGGAAGCACTGAGGGTCTGAGGAACGACAGGGAGCAGAGATTTACTGAGGAGAGTGTGACCTCCCGTCATAGCACCATTGCTGTTACTTGAGTAAATTAGGTAGAATCTTTCAGTAAGAAAACTTGGTCAAAGGTATTCCAGCAGAGTCTTCCTATGAAACCATGCTCACTCATCACCACCTTCCAAGTGCAGCCCAGCTACTGCAGCCACCCACCCCGCAGCCCCACCACCTCCTCCTGCCATCCCATGGCATCTCAGGTCCTCTGTGGGTACAAAACGGAGTGGGAACCAGTCCCTCTCCCAAGACATACTGGGATAGTGCCACGGGACATGCGTGTGCACATCTGCAGGAAGGGCCGCAGGAGCAGTCAGGGCCAGCCCTGCCAGGCGGTCATGTGGAAGACCCTCACCAAGCCCACAGCCGTGGAGGCTGGAGGCGGATGCTGCTCTGAGAGCCCGTGACAAACCCACTACTCCCCTGCCAGGCCGTCATCTGCTGATGACGGATGATGGTTTTACCTGAAGCGTCTGCATTTGTATTTAATATATTCACTTTTCAGGAATAAAGAGGGATATTCCCATGCATTTTTTTCCAGGGTATTTTACCGACTCCCGTTGTAGCCACCCATTATACAACCCAGCAGAACTGGAAGAAAACGATGCCATCGGAGTGAGGCGGGCGGCCCAGAGGCATCTGCAAGCAGAGCTGGGAATTCCTGGGGAGCAGGTACACGCAGCACCCAGTCACGGCTATGTCCACGGGAGTCCAGGTTGGCAGTGGGCAGAAGCTGAACAAAGTCCAGGCTGGATCTGTGCTGTTGGCCTCATGAAGCACCGTGAGGATGAAGGATGGGGCTGTGGATGGGGCTGTGAATGGGCTGTGGATGGGAACGTGAATGTAGCTGTAGATGGGGCAGTGTGAGTTTTTGTGTGTCCCAGGCAGGGTTGAGACTGTGCAGGAATCTGTCGGCCACACACCAAAGAGGAAATGCAAGTGTCCACTAGAAAGAATGTCCAGGATCCTGTGAGCATATGTGTTAACTTCATCCATTCAAGAACATCTTTAAGAGAGGACGGATGTTCTCCTGACAGTGCTGGCCGGTTTCTATGGGATTTTCTGTTGAGGATGTGTGTGTGACAGGGTTAGTTCTTTAAATGAAGACACAGACAGGTTTACTGGAACCAAGAAACCAAAGCCAGTTTATCATTCAGACTTGAGTCCACAAAAATTTACTTGGCTAAAATTGAGGTTTTGGAAATTATCAATTACCAAAAGAAAGTGTTCATTTTCTTTGAGGAAAACAATGTGTTTATTTTCTCTATTTTTCTGTAAATTCTGTTTTACATGTGTGTTGTTAACACTGCACCAATTTCTGTCAGATTTCTCCAGAGGACATTGTGTTCATGACAATCTATCACCACAAGGCAAAATCAGACAGAATTTGGGGAGAGCATGACATTTGTTACCTTCTGCTTGTGAGGAAAAATGTCACCGTGAACCTGGATCCCAGTGAAAAGAAAAGCATCCTCTACCTGTCCCAGGAGGAGCTGCGGGAGCTCCTGAAGAGGGGGCCAGGGGCGAAGTCAAAGTCACCCCCTGGCTAAGAACCATTGCCGAGAAGTTTCTGTACCGGTGGTGGCCTCACCTGGATGATGTGACCCAGTTTGTGGAGCTTCACACAGAGTATGAGAGGCAGGGAGATCGAGTCAGCCGTGTGGAATGCTCTCAGTGCAGGCAGACACACCATCGAGGCAACAGCACACCCAACACAGGGCGAAAGGGGCATGTGATTGCCCATCAGCTATAAATCACTCGTTTCCTTTTCATCAACTTTGTCATGTCTTCATTTTCCCTTTCCTTTATTTCTATATTTCTCATCTGCCTGGTGGCACGGAGGAAATTTAACGTTTCCCTTGTCCCAGTTTCCATTTTATAAGCACTTGGTCGATGAACAGCGGCTGATCCCGAAAGTCTTGGGGAGAGCTTGAGAGTTCTGACGCAGGCGGACTAGCATGGCTGGACTGTGAGGCTGCCTCCCCACAGCTTTATCCGAGCCTCCAAGGTCAGGAGGGGTCTCTGCTCCATCTGTTTCTTTCTAAATCACTTATTTCCAAGTGCAACACAAGGTTGCATTTTTTAAAAAAGACACATTCAATTTTGCATCTTAAGCCTTGGCGATATGCATTTAAGTTCACCTTTCAAATGAATTTAGACTTACAGATATTACATTCCTAATACGAGCAGTACAGAAGATGTGTATGGTCTCAGCCAAGTGACTCAACGTTTATCCACTTCTGTTCATTTGATTACATTTCAGTAATATGCTTACAAATAAAGACATACTTGCTTTAAAACATACTGTTGTTGTTGAACACAAAGTAACTACATATTAGGTTTTGGTGTTTAATACGGAGAAAGAATTTCAAAAACCAGATCTGGTAAAAATTTTTTTTTGACACAGAGTCTTGCTCTGTCACATAGGCAGGAGTGCAATGGCACGATCTCGGCTCACTGCAACCTCCGCCTCCTGGGCTCAAGTGATTCTCCTGCCTTAGCCTTCTGAGCAGCTGGGATTACAGACGCCCATCACCACGCACGGCTAATTTTTCTATTTTTAGTAGAGATGGTGTTTCACCAAGTTGGCCAGGCTGCTCTCAAACTCCTGACCTCATGATCTGCCCACCTTGGCCTCCCAAAGTGCTGGGACTATAGGCCTGAGCCACTGTGCCCGGCCCAGACCTGGTAAATTTTGAAAATTGCCACATGTAATCCAGAAGTGTGACCAACTAAAATCCTGTCCTCAGCTATAATGTTGATTGCGACTTGATAACTCATCTGTGGTGGCTCTCGGATCCCTGTGTGTCCTCAGGGCTCCAGGAGCACACGGACCCCTGGGCGAGTCCCTCTGACCCCACAGCTCTTCATCTCAACGCTCCCCGGCAGGTGCTTCTGAGATGGTATTGGGGGTGTTTCTGTGTTTTACTGAACATATATACTTCAGGGACAGGCCACAGAAATAGGAGAATGCCCATATTTAATTGCCTAATGCCTCCAGCAACACTTTACTCCCCCAAAAGTATTTTTGCTTTAAAACAAAATAGAAATGTCATATGTTTTTTGCCTTTTTATTTGGTCAAATCAATAGTGACTATAACTGAACCAAAACATGGCTAAGTATATCAAAACTACTTTCTTTTTTTTTTTTTTGAGATGGAGTCTCGCTCTGTGGCCCAGGCCGGAGTGCAGTGGCCGGATCTCAGCTCACTGCAAGCTCCGCCTCCCAGGTTTACGCCATTCTCCTGCCTCAGCCTCCCGAGTAGCTGGACTACAGGCGCCCACCATCTCGCCCGGCTAGTTTTTTGTATTTTTTTAGTAGAGACGGGGTTTCACCAGGTTAGCCAGGATGGTCTCGATCTCCTGACCTCGTGATCCACCCATCTCGGCCTCCCAAAGTGCTGGGATTACAGGCTTGAGCCACCGCGTCCGGCCTAAAACTACTTTCTTCTGGAAGTTTATTTTGGATAAAATAATTGAAGACAGATTACAATGAGACACTGTACAATAAGAGTAGAAAATAATTTAGGAGGGTATTTTAAGCACGGATTCCGACACATTCATAAACATGTTTGCTCCCAAACTCTTACAAAAGAAAATAAGGTTTTTCTCCATCAAGAACAACCCAGTTACACCAGTAAATCTTACCAGTTCTGAAAATCTGAAGCGACTGATACTCCATTAAATGTAGAAATATTGTCTACTCAAAATATTTGTAATATTATGCAGTGACAAAAATTTCCCACATCTATTAACCATAGTTTTCAGCAAAGCAACAAGTGCTTTACTTATTTTGTCTTTTTCAGTTTATACAGAACTCCAATTTCATGAAACCACACTGTGCCAAGCCAGGAAATAAAGAGCAACAGTCTAGCCAAGCCACAATCAAACGGATACTATCTCCTGTCCTTTTTGCCAGCTTTCCTCTTCCCAGAGAGCAAGTGCTTAGGCTTCATGTCGAACACGTGTCTGTCTGCCTCCCCTTTCTTCCCCAACCGGTTCATCTTCTTCTGGGCATTCTTCATCATAGTCTTGGCTTTCTTCACCATCTAAAAGGAGGAGGAAAAATGAAGTATGTTCATGGCTTGAAACCAATTTACCATTCTGAATTTGAACTACTGGGTAACAATCCGTTTTAATGGCTCCAGTCTGTTCAGTGAAGAGACCCTGTAACATCTCTTTTCTCTTAAGCCCAGCACAGTATCTGCAGGAACTCAATGAATATTTTTGTATAAAGACTGGATGAAAATCATACCTAGGACAAGCTTTACACCCAGGACTAGCTACATTTTAGACCTAGAAGGTTTTAACTCCCTCTTATACAACCTAAGGACTCAGGCCCGTGAACCTGTTTTGCTCAGGTCTGATTGACAAGTGGTAACACCAATATTAACAGCCAGGTTTCAAGATGGCAGCGGCACAGAAGAGTGAAGCTCAGGCTTCTATGAAGGAGACGGCAGTTTACACACAGACTTTCTCCTGCATCTCCATTGCCACAATGCTGAAACTAAAAGTTGTTGTGTTTAATAAAAGGACATTTCACCAAGAGAGACTGTACATCCAAAGTGTCTTTGCCAAAAGACATTACCAATGAACTAAATGTGACTCCAGCTCTCCACCTGGGGGGAACAATCCTGCAACCTAAAGATGAGCAGGATCACCCGCCAATCGACCCAGGACTTCCCTCTGGCTGTTCCTCCCACGGGGGGCTTCCTGGGACTTGAGGTCTCCTGGTGCTCAGCAGTGGCCACTTCCTGGCCCTCTTCAGACAGCGGGGCCTGAGCCCAGACTGCGGTGCTGTCCGACCACGCTCTGGCCACCCTCCGCAAAAGGAAAGTGCCACGGAGGGGTCCATCCAGGGCAGCTGTCCAGGGGCGTCCACTTGTACCCTGGCCCATGCTCCCCTCTAAAGGATGCCACAAAACCAGGGCCGGCAGTGCACACGACCCCTGCCATAGCTCCTGCAAACGGCAACTGCTGGTGTTTGCCCTGAACCCTGTGCAATACACAACAGAGGCTGTCATTTTATCACATTGCACAACACAGAGACTGACCTTGACATCCCTAAGACCAGAAACGTCACGTGGAGTTCGAGAGCAGCTCCGACTCCGGGCCACAGAGGACGGGGGAGCAGAGTCTTCCCGCTTTCTTTTCCTGGTGACGCTCCGGGATCTTCTTGCCTGGACTGCGTAGTGGGCCTGCAAAGCAGGGAAAGCAACGCTGAGCGCTCAGGACCCCGGCCCCGCTCCCGGGCTCAGCGCTCGGGACCCCGGCCCCGCTCCCGGGCTCAGCAACAGGCATGAGGTCACTCCAGCAAGAGGGGAGGAGAGGAGTGTTTGAACCATTACCACATGGGCTAAAGATCTTGAAAATACATATTTTCATATTAGTGACACCATTTCAAGTTCACATTAGTAACAATTTCACATTAATTGTTGGTCAAATATTCTTATCCGCTTAACAGAAGCTGCTTTAGGTAACAAAGCTGATTTTAACTCCACTTACAGAAACTTAGAACTCTCATTTAAAAGTGATTATTAGAGTATAGCATCACAATTTGTATTTCAGACATAAACAATGCTCTGTCCCTCATCGTCCCGTTTTGGGGGTTACTGATATGAACACAAAGGGACAACCATCAGACAGAAACCGTCAGACAGAAGCTGCAGACTGCACATCTAGAGGACAGGGTCTGCAGCCACACCCTGGGCACGTCACCGCGCGGCCTGGTGCTGCTGTGGACACACCCTGGATACGCACAGAGCTGCCTCCTGCGGGCTGTGAAGCTTTTTATTTTTTTTTTGAGATAGTCTTGCTCTGTCGCCCAGGCTGGAGTGCAGCCTCAATCCACCACTTCAGCCCAGACCCAGGGTCAGGGAATCCTCAACCCAGCCCCAGGGCCAGAAAATCTCAAAAGACGAAAACTGGAAGCTCTCATTTCTTTTGCTGTCATTTCCCACGGCTTTCCAAAACCCTGGTTTGTTTTCTTCCTTTCCTTCCCTTTTTCCTTCCTTCTTTTCTTTTCTCTTTTTCTGAGATGGAGTCTCACTCTGTCACCCAGCCTGGAGTAGAGTGGCGTGATCTCAGCTCACTGAAACCTCTGCTTTCCGGGTTCAAGCGATTCTCCTGCCTCAGCCTCCTGAGTAGCTGGGACTACCAGCATGCACCACCACGCCCGGCTAATTTTTTGTACTTTTTTTCAGTACAGACTATGTTTCACCATGTTGACTAGGCTGGTCTCGAACCCCTGACCTCATGATCTTCCAGCGCGCCTTGGCCTCCCAAAGTGCCTGGATTACAGGCGTGAGCCGCCGCATCCGGCCGGTTTTCTTTATTAAAAAGGTGTATCCAGCCACATCAACACACGAACCGCCCCCACACTCACGTCGTCTTTATCATCCATGTCAACACCAAGACTGCGCATCTCCTTCTCCAAAGCTGTCCTCTGAACCTGAAAAGGAAAAAAAGAAATATCTGCTTTAAATTAGTTTGATGAAATGCTGAAAAAAACTTAAAGACAATATATATGTATATATATTTTGCAACAATTATACTTATTTTAGAAGTTGCAATTTTTACTGGGCCTTGCTTTCATGTTTTTGGATAGCTCAATTAAATCCCACGGAAACTAACATTTACGGAGCAATTGCCGTGGGAAGCATCAGGTGTCCTCTACGTCTGTCTGCTCTTCACCACCACACGGGGGGGAATGTCCCCTACGTCTGTCCGCTCTTCACCACCACACGGGGGAGAGTGTCCTCTCTACGTCTGTTCACTCTTCACCACCACACGGGGGAGAGTGTCCCCTCTACGTCTGTCCGCTCTTCACCACCACACGGGGGGAAGTGTCCTCTACGTCTGTCTGCTCTTCACCACCACACGGGGGGAGTGTCCTCTACGTCTGTCCGCTCTTCACCACCACACGGGGGGGAAGTGTCCCCTCTACGTCTGTCTGCTCTTCTTCACCACACGGGGGGAGTGTCCTCTACGTCTGTCCGCTCTTCACCACCACACGGGGGGGACGTCTGTCCGCTCTTCACCACCACACGGGGGGGAGTGTCCCCTCTACGTCTGTCCACTCT